CACAGAAAGCATATAGTATACCATATACAGAATGCTCGGTTTTCTGATCATTAATAAGCATGCAAACAAATTGTCCAGTTGCTAATGGCAATATATACTCCGCAAAACCATCACAAATTTATCAAAAAATTTAAAAAATAAAAAATGCCCTGCATTATTGCAAAATGCCTTAATCACACTTCAACTTAATAGCATCAAGAGCCTTCGATAAAATATGACAAGGCAACAATCAACAATCAAATCAGTACTAATAGTCACAAAAATTTCCAACTATAGGTCTTATATTATTATTCTGCTTAAACTCCACTTCACAAATTTGCTGTACTTTCAACAAAAATCGTCCCTTTAAGAAAATAACATAAACAAAAGTGCGACATTATGCATTTTTTGATACAAAGTATAACAAATGTTAGACTGTACCGCACAAAAAATTGCATCAAACTAAATTACAGCACATTAATCAAATCACAGTACTCAAATTCTACCAAACCAATCAAACGAATTCACATGAACACAGAAAACCGAAACACACAGTTACCAAATACCAGCATAAATTAGAATTTCATTTCACGGATCAAACAAAAACCCTGATTTGCATAAACAAAAGTTTGTACCTTTGAGCAGCTTGAGCGGGGCGGACGATTGAGAAGGACGTTGGGGCAAGGGGCAGAACACGGCGCCGCTCCTTGCCGCCGGGAGGCGGTGAGTCAACACGGCGGTGGCCGCCATAGAAGTGGAAGCTGCCGCTGCCATTTATTTATTGGCTGGAAAACTCCCAATAATAAGGGAAAAAGGTGTAATTGTTCAGATATTAATTGGGCAAAAGCGAAAAGTGCGTTTTTGCTCAGCCTCACTTTCTTTATCTCTTCTGTTTTTTTGAGAATTATTTGCAGATTCATTTCTTGATATCCACAGCTATTTTTTTGGTCAATGGGGAGCTGGTATCAGCAGCTGACACGTGGAAGAATCGAGCGTCCTAATTGGTCCGTTCTCTATCTTGAAAATCCGGTTTTACTCCGTCTTGCAAATTCCATGTCGTTTCAATCTAGGAAAGGGCTAATTATAAACAACAAAAGATCATTATTATAAATTAAATACAAAAATTATATTTTTATTTTAAAAATGACACGTGTTGATGATGCATTACTCCAACGTTTTCAGATTCAGTGTGTGAAGTGGGAATGCCTACAAAAAAAACACCTATTTGTCTTTAAGATAGATCCTCCAATACTTAAGTCAAGTTAGAACAAAGTTAAAGTGGCAACTGTAAAATAAATTTTAGAGTAGCAAACAACATTCGGTTTACCTCAGACTTAGGTTGTCCTTTTATAGAGTTCCTCAGCCCAACTACTTATAGTGGATTATGGTTCACAAATTGGGTTTCATCTAAACCTTGAAACTGATAACTAAGGTTGGATATTAGCATTAACCTTGGACATTGATAGTTTTCGAAACATAGTGTTATTGTTTTATAAAGTCACATATTACCTAATATACTCGTATATTTTTCCTCAACACTTGTCGTAATTAAGTTTTACGTNGGTTCTCACACCAGGACTAGTTTTTATTTGAACCGGCCCATATATATATATATATATAGGATGTGGTTCAAATGAGAACCAAATCTTAGTGTGAGAACCGTAAGAACCGCTATTTTTAATTGTGCGTAGTGCTATGATTGATTGTGCTTGGTACTATTTTTAATTAGGATGAATTTTATTAAAATAGCAACACAATTTCTGTTAGAGTTTGTACAAATGATAGCATCATTTAATATGAAAAATAGCATCATACACAATTAAAAATAACATCAAATACGGTTCTCACGGTTCTCACACCAGGACTAGTTTTTATTTGAACCGGCCCATATATATATATATATATAGGATGTGGTTCAAATGAGAACCAAGTCCTATCGTGAGAACTGTGAGAACGGCTATTTTTAATTGTATGAAGTGCTATGATTGATTATGTTTTAGTGCTATTTTTAATCAGCATATAATTTATTAAAAATAGCAACACAATTTATATTAGCATATGTGAAAATGATAGCACTATGTGATAATAAAAATAGCATCATTCACAAGTAAAAATAGCATCAAATATGGTTATCACGGTTCTCACACCATGATTAGTTTTTATTTTAACCAACCCCTATATATATTATTTTTTTCCAACAAAAAGATATGTATCATGTTCCCAAAGATGTTAGTCAAAAGTGATGAAACCATAAAGGCTTTTTTCCCCACAAAAAGACATGTAAATATAATTAAAAATCTAATCAATAGCTGATAAATTAATGTTACATTGGTAGTTGCTCTAACTATTTTGAAAAATTCATCCTATCTAATCAAATTTATTTAAACACAAAAAATAATAATGTAACTAAATAAATAATCAGCTATAGACCCGCTATTTCTTCATATTCCTCTTGTTATTTTTTATTGAAAAAAAACCGAAAATTTCTTCTCGAGTCAGCTATAGACCCGCAATTTTCTTCTTTTCCAAAGTAAAACCCACTTGCTTTTACTAGACTAAGCAAGGGCCCAAGTGATGAAGGCAGCCCAATATTGACCAAGTAGAGTTTCTCGAGTCAATATATTAAAGTGCTGTGCTTTATAACACAACCTTGAGGTTCCATATCTATATTCTTATTAGAAATTTGGCCATATCTATATTCTATAATAATTATGTTTTTTTCTGGTCCTTCCCTCGCCAGATTAATTTGTTGTCCAATTTCGTGTTTCATTCCGTTTTTCACTCTAGTGGATAATGACATGTGTCATTCAACTGTACACGTGTCATTCGATCAACAATCAAACGAAACACTAAATGGTTTAGGCGGAATGCATCGAACCCTTCGAAAAATATCGAAATCACGACATATAAACAATAGTAAACACACACACACTATTAAAATCACGACACGATTTCACAATTCTGATCAATTCATCGATCATTTATTATTAACAAGAAGTCGCTGAAAGCCTGAATGATACATTACAACTATTCTACTACACACCACAATTAATCAGCTAAAAACACTGATCGATTTATTCGTTCCGCTACATACCCCATAATAGTACAACAAAACACACTCGATTATCATAACATTATTTCAACCTATCGGCTGAATTTCGCAATATTGATTGAGGTTAGCGCCACCTAGGATCCCGTAAGCCAATGCCTTGTTGGCGGCCTCGGTTAGGTGGATCCCGTCCCAACTCACGTAGTTCTGAGGGTCGCTACAAGCCGAGGCAGTTGCCGTCTGGCCATCGATCACTTTTGTGGCCCCACAATAGACCTGCTGGTTGAAATTGTACGACCCGCCTCCATATCCGCAACATGCCGTTGTCCCATGTTGCAATCCTAGCAAACAAAAACGATACTAACTAATATCAAGAAGAAAAAAAATGGTCTCGAAATACTGTTGACTATCAATTTCGGACAGAACATTAAACAAGGATAGTATAAAAATATTACGAAAAAGTAAATGGTATGGAAATACTATTAACTATCAATTTTGGACTTGAAAAATGCTGGACTATAACAAGGATAATATAAATGTATAATTATATTGAAAAAATAAATGGTCCGTAAAAAATACTATTAACTATCAATTTCGGATCTGAAAGATGCTGGACAGTCAAGAAATAGTTCGTCATACCGTGGCTAGTGGGGTTCTGGAAAAGGTCTTGTAGCACGGAATATGTGTCGACATACATGAGGTTAGCATCCTTGAGCTCTTGCTTCGTTTGCTCGACCGCGGCCTTGAGCGCGTAGTTGTACTCGTTCACGGCATTGTTGTACGAGCCCAAGCATCCGTACGAGTCGTAATCGGAGCTCTGGTGAGGGAATTGCACGATAAAAGCAGGGTAGCAACCCACCGGCCAAATGTTGAGGATCAGAAACGAGCGAGCTCCAATGTCGTAAAGTTGCTGCATGCAATTTCATTTATCGACAAAAAAAAAAAATTATTAATCAACTTCGCCTTATAACAAAGAAATAAATATATAAATAAATTAAATTGCATTCAATTTTAAAATATCTCGAAATAGAGACCTTAATGGAGCTAATGGTTTGAGACACGAGCTCAGATTGGACTTGCTTAACCCCACCGGGACCACCCGAGCCTGCATAACCCGTCAAGTCGTTCTGACCGATGTAAATTGTGTAAAGTGCTTTCCCAAATATATCTGGCTGAGGAAGATTTGTTTGTCCTGTCACAAAAAGTTGAAATAAACAATCAATCAATTGCCAAAAAATTAAAGAAAAAAAAATTGTTATCAATATGAGATGAATATGTTACCTTTTGACTGTGAATTATACTCCTCAACCTTTGACTTAAACTGCTTCATTTGGTTGATTTGGACTTGCAAGTAGAAAGGACTAAGACCGTTGACAAACAAGGATGTCTGAGGCTGGAGCACAGTCGATGCTGACGTGGCGAAGTTGACTCCGTGCCTGAAGTCTGACCCGATTGACTGCAGGTAAGGGCTTATGAAGGGGATTCCAAGAGCTTGAGCTGCATGAGTGAAGTATGATATGATCAAAATTGTAAAGTATTAAGTTGTTTTCTAATTAACTAATGTAGCCACATTCTATTGGTTAATTTGTTTTCTATATATAGTGGTAATATCACTAAATGACCATGCAACTTTTAAAATGATACAATTTGTGAAATGATACAATTACCCTTAAAATTGTTTCTGAAAATAATTCCAGTTTTTGGTAGTAAAAATGGGTATTATTTATACTTCTACAAAAAGTGGTTATATTTCATCTTTGTATTTGCTACGTGGCTATAAAACTAAAGGGCTGCTATATGTGTGTGTGTATATATATATGCTTCGATTTACCGAGAAAGTCGACATAGAGCCTCCCATCGGAGTGTCGGCCGGTCGGCCTATTGAAATAGGTCATGCCGTAAGGAGACGGTTGAGATGGGAAAGCGGCGAAAAAGCCTCCGGTATCAGAATTCGAGTCCCCGAAAACGAACATTGCCTCGAACGAACATTTTGCGTTAGCCGTATAAGCTAGCATTGCCATGAAAACCACCAAGCAAACCATGGTACAAGATTTTCCAAATGAAAAAGAAACCATGTCTTTTTTCTTTTGTATATCTCAACTATAGAAGAGTTTATAATTTTTTTCTTTTTTCTTTTATTTTAGTTGTGAGTGAAGAAGAAGGTTTTGCTAGTCATATTTATAGTGGTTGAGAGGAAAGTGAAGTTATACGTGCATGGGCAAAAAATTCTATCTGATCCATCTAATGATACAAGAATCATTTGCGAAATTGTATTTGACGACTGAAATTCGAGGGTGGATGGGAACAAAAGTACAAAATTTAGTAAATTAAATTTGGTGATATGGGAACAAATTAAAGTTGTATAGAGTTATGGGTCTATAACTATAAGTTAATGCCAAAAAAACACAACTATATGATATCGGTGAGTGCCAAAAAAAGGCAACTAAATGGATGGGCATTAAAATTTGATGGATGGAGAAATTGTTACCATGTATAAAGACAATAATTTTTAACTAACTTGTGACGTTTATTTTTACATTGTACATGAGAAAAAAAAAATAAGTAAAATGCTATCTCTTAGTTTGATGTTGAAAATATATTATACATTTGTAAAAAGGTAAATACTACTACCTCCTTTTTTTTATAAATGTCATTTTGGCTTTATCAACAATTGTCTAAATAAATGACGTTTTGGATATTTTGTACATATTTTTCCATTATTACCCTTATCTAGCTAATAAATACACTACGTCTTTTCATATTCACTCTTTATCTTTTCTCAAAACATTTATCTCTATCCTCATTAATGAGGGTTATTATTGGCAAAAAAGATATTCTTAATTAGTGTGAAATTTCCCAAAACGACATCTATTAAAAAAAGGAGGGAGTAGATTTTTCTGTTCATTAAAAAACTAATAAGGTAGTTGATAAATGAATGCTAAGTTGGTAGCTGCTCTAAGTATTTTAAAAAACTCAGTCCTATCCAATCAAATTTATTGAAACACAAAAAACTAATAAGGTAATTAAATAAATCATGAGCTATGCACCCGTCATCTCTTCATATTCCTCTTGTTCTTTTTTATTGAAATATTCCCAAACTTTTTGTTATAATCATGGGCCAATCTTTTGGTAAGTAAAGCCCACTTGCTTTTACTAGACTAACCAAGGCCCAATTAATGAAGGCAGGCAACAAACTCAAGAATTAATGACACCCCCTATCCATTTGTCTAGACAGTTTACATATTTATTCCTACTTATTATTTAGACAAAACTACTCCTTTTATTTCAAATTATACTTTTTTTTTGCACGTTTCTAGGTTTTTAAAATTCTGATGGTTTTTATATTTAATTTAAATTTTAATTTTTGTAACCAACACATCCTTTGATATTATCCCACTTTTTTTCTCTTTTTCTTTCTTTCATCTCTTGGTTACGTTTCTTCTTGTTCCTCTCTTTTTGTTTTTCTTCTCAGCTTTTTGCGTGATGAACTCGTCTTCCCGGTAAGTGAGCCTCTAATTTCACCCAATTTTTTTTCTTCCCTAATTTCGATGTACCATACTCTGTTTGTATATTTTTGTGGCTTAATTTTTCAAATTTTATGTTTTATTTAAGTACTTGTTTTGTTTTAATTGACAAAATTTATTGCAGGCCAACGATTTGATAAATTTGGAGTGGCTGTCTCAATACATCGACGACAACTCCACGGCGGGTCTCTACTTGTTATGCCCGGTCAGAATTTTACCGCCCTAAAGAGCCGAACACGTGAACCGTCTGGTCCATAAGATTAGCGTCTCGTTTTTTCCCTTGTTGGTCCTGAGAAAACCGAGGATCTAGCTCCCGATGAGGCCGCGTGCGCAGTGACAATACTGGGTGTGCGGGTTTGAGAAACCGATGGTTCTGGAGGCGAATCGGTTCAGTTGTGTAGGAAAACTGTTGATAAAGCGCCGAAGTAAGGCGCCAACAAATGTTTAATATTGGTGATGTACGGCGACTTGAAATTGGCAAGTTGAGACGGTTTAGGTGGTGTTCGATTAAGTTGAAATTTGCTTTTATGTTTTCTTTGACAATTTTGTAATTTTTTTTTTTTTGGTAATTGAGAGTTGTTTTTATGTTTCTTGGTAATTTTTATGTTGTTGTTTTATTGTTACTTCATTTATCTTTTTTGTCCTTGGTAATGAATCAAAATGAGATTACTGTTAATGATTCCTGCAAGTCATAAAAAAAAAATTGCTATTTAATTAATTCGTTTATTGACTATTAATTTCGAACATAAATGAGTTGCTGTTTTTGTTTCTATTAATTTTTAATAAAGCAAAATTTATAAATTACAATTATAGTTGGCACCCTTTAATGCTTTGTAATCTTTATGTATATTAGATTCCAATTTCCATAATTTTTTGGCTGGCCTTCGTTGTTGTCGGGAGCATGTTTCTCCTTGATTCATTCTTTTTTTTTTTTATGTTTTTTTATTTGAAAATAAATAACTGCCATCAGTTTTTTTATGTTTTTTTTTAAACTGTCACCTAGTTATGTTTTTTTTTTTTTTTTTATATAATTGTGGCCACAACTTGGAGTAGAAATGGAAATCGTCAGTAGCAGTATTTGTTGTGGAATTGTATTCTTAAAGAGGGTTAGTTATGGATTTTCGCCCAAACTCAAATACGCCCATTAAGGATGGCTGAATAAAGTTGCTCAATGCAGGCTTACTGTTTATAAATAGCATGCATGGCTGTGTCCGTACTGCATTGATAAGGTTCCAATTGTATTGTAATGAGAAATTAGTTCATTCTTTTTTATTAAATAGGGGTTGGTTCAAATAAAAATTAGTCCTGGTGTGAGAACTGTGAGAACCGTATTTGATGTTATTTTTAATTATGTATGATGCTATTTTTAACACAATGATGTTATCATTTTCAAAAATGCTAATATAAATTATGTTGCTATTTTTAATAAAATTCATCTTAGTTAAAATAGCACCAAACACAATCAATCATAGCACCACGCACAATTAAAAATAACGATTCTCACGGTTCTCACACTAAGACTTGGTTTTCATTTGAACCGACTCCTATATATATATATATATATATATGTGTGTGTGTGTGTGTGTGTGGTTTTTTTGGTCCTTTTCGCACCAGATTTGCCCTCCAATTTCATGTTTCTTTTCGTTTTTCACTCAACTGGATAAATGACGTGTCATTCAATTGAGTACGTGTTATTCATTCATTGATCAGACGAAACATGAAATGGCTTAGGGCAGCCGCCCCTTTAACATGCCACGTTTAAACGCCAAATTGGCGTTCAAATGAATGCGAGTGTTCATTATATGAATGGGGCCCATGTTACCGTTCAGTCCTTTAAACGCGTTCAACCCTTTAATTTTAATTTTTTTTTGTTTTGTTTTAAATGAAATTGTTTAACTATTTTATTATTCTTTTATATATTTAACTTGTTTTTTTTAACTATATCACACTTACAATATTGATATTCTAAACAATATTAAAACTGAAATTTAACTTCTTTCTTGTACACTTCCTAGTATAAAAGAAAATTGAAATTTGTTATGTTGACATGCATTATTCTACACAATATGATTGTTGAAAATGAAGGAGATGTAGTAACACTTTGGCACAATGACGAGGATGAAGAGCCCGCACAACCTGTCCAGGGTTCATATTGAGAAATTTAGAATTATATTCGTAGAAGTTCAGAGATACGGTATAACGTAATGCATCATCAACTTCGTGCCGATTTAGTTGAGCATATTTGGACTCATTTTGCCAACAAAAAAAAAAATATTTTTTGCAATTGTACTATTTTTTTCTTGTGTAATCTTAATTTAAGTTATTTTTTCTTGTAGTTGTCTTTCATTTTTATGCATTTAAAATTTATTATTATAATTTAAAAATATTAAATTTTATTTTTACTTAGAATTGAATATAAAAATTTATATTGAATGAGTGGATAATGGGTCTCACATATGTATTTAAATGAATGTGTAGGAATATGGTTGTGTGTTTAAATGGAGAGAGATTTAGTGGAAAGATGATGTAGATGAGAGAGAGTGTTACTTTTTGATTGAATGAATGGTATTTGTTTTAAAGGATTGTGGATGCCCTTAGGCGAAATGCATTGGACCCTTCGAAATATCGAAATCACGACATATAAACAATAGTAAACACACACGCACACTACTAAAATCACAACACGATTCACAATTCTGATCAATCCATCGATCATTTATTATTAACAAGAAGTCGCTCAAAACCCGAACGATACATATATTACAACCATTCCACCACACACCACAACTTATCAGCTAAAAACGCTTATCGATTTATTCGTTCCGCTACATATCCCATAACAGTACAACAAAACACACTCGATTATCATAACATTATTTCAACCTATCGGCTGAATTTCGCAATATTGGTTGAGGTTAGAGCCACCTAGGATCCCGTAAGCCAATGCCTTGTTGGCGGCCTCGGTTAGGTGGATCCCATCCCAACTCACGTAGTTCTGAGGGTCACTGCAAGCCGAGGCAGTTGCCGTCTGGCCATCGATCACTTTTGTAGCCCCACAATAGACCTGCTGGTTGAAATTGTACGACCCGCCTCCATATCCGCAACATGCCGTTGTCCCATGTTGCAATCCTAGCAAACAAGAACAATGATACTAACTAATATCAAGAAAAAAAAAATGGTCTCAAAATATTGCTGACTATCAATTTCGGACCTGAAAGAACATTAAACAAGGATAGTATGAAAATATTACGAAAAAGTAAATGGTATGGAAATACTATTAACTATCAATTTTGGAGCGGGAAGAAGTTGGAAAGTCAAGAAATAGTTCATATCGTGGTTAGTAAAAAAAAATTAAACAAGGATAGTATAATAATATTAAGAAAAAGTAAAATGTTTGGAAATACTATTAACTATCAATTTTGGTCTTGAAAAATGCTGGACAGTCAAGAAATAGTTCGTATAACAAGGATAATATAAATGTATAATAATATTGGAAAAATAAATGATCCAGAAAAAATACTATTAACTATCAATTTCGGACCTGAAAGATGCTAGACAGTCAAGAAATAGTTCGTATAACAAGGATAATATAAATGTATAATATAATATTGGACAAGTAAATGGTCCGGAAAAATACTATTAACTATCAATTTCGGATCTGAAAGTTGCTCGATAGTTAAAAAATAGTTCGTTCATACCGTGGCTAGTGGGGTTCTGGAAAAGGTCTTGTAGCACAGAATATGTGTCGACATACATGAGGTTAGCATCCTTGAGCTCTTGCTTTGTTTGCTCGACCGCGTCCTTGAGCGCATAGTTGTACTCGTTCACGGCATTGTTGTACGAGCCCAAGCATCCGTACGAGTCGTAATCGGAGCTCTGGTGAGGGAATTGCACGATAAAAGCAGGGTAGCAACCCACCGGCCCAATGTTGAGGATCAAAAACGAGCGAGCTCCAATGTCGTAAAGTTGCTGCATGCAATTTCATTTACCGACAAAAAATAATTATTAATCAGCTTCTCCTCCACACAAAAAAAATAAAAATAAAAATAAAAAATGAAGTTCGATTTTAAATATTTCGAAATCGAAATGTGGTTTTATTGGTTTCGTGAATTTAAAGCGAGACCTTAATGGAGCTAATGGTTTGAGACACGAGCTCAGATTGGACTTGCTTAACCCCACCGGGACCACCCGAGCCTGCATAACCCGTCAAATCGTTCTGACCGATGTAAATTGTGTAAAGTGCTTTCCCAAATATATCTGGCTGAGGAAGATTTGTTTGTCCTGTCACAAAAAGTTAAAATAAACAATCAATCAATTGCTAAAAAAATAAAGAAAAACATTGTTATCACAATTGAACTTTGAATATGAGATGAATATGTTACCTTTTGACTGTGTATTATACTCCTCAACCTTTGACTTGAACTGCCTCATTTGGTTGACTTGGACTTGCAAGTAGAAAGGACTAACACCATTGACAAACAAGGATGTCTGAGGCTGGAGCACGGTCGATGCTGACGTGGCGAAGTTGGCTCCGTGCCTGAAGTCTGACCCGATTGACTGCAGGTAAGGGCTTATGAAGGGGATTCCAAGAGCTTGAGCTGCATGAGTGAAGTATGATATATATGATCAAAATTGTAAAGTATTAAGCTGTTTTCTAATTAACTAATGTAGCCACATTATTTATATATAGTGGTAATATCAAATGACCATGTAGCTTTTAGAAAGATAAAAGAATGGAAAATGCTACAATCCCGTTACGGAACCATTCCGTTGAATTTGTAACCGTTAGATCAACTATCATTGACGGTTACTTGATGATCTAACGGTTACAAATCCCAACGGAATGGTACCGTAACGGATTGTAGCCTTACCCTAAAAGAATAGTCACTTTTCGTGAAAGTATGAATATTAATAGTCATTTTATTATGTGAAATGACATAATTACCCTTAAAATTGCTTCTGAAAATAAATCAAGTTTTTGGTAGTAATATGGCCAAATGGGTATTATTTTTACTTCTACAAAAAGTGATTATATTTCATCTTTGCATTTGCTACGTGGCTATAAAACCAAGGGGATGCTATATATGTGTGTGTGTGTGTATATATATATATATATGCTTCGATTTACCGAGAAAGTCGACATAGAGCCTCCCATTGGAGTGTCGGCCGGTCGGCTTATTGAAATAAGTCATGCCGTAAGGAGACGGTTGAGATGGGAAAGCGGCAAAAAAGCCTCCGGTATCAGAGTTTGAGTCCCCGAAAACAAACATTGCCTCGTACGAACATTTTGCGTTAGCCGTATAAGCTAGCATTGCCATGAAAACCACCAAGCAAACCATGGTACAAGATTTTCCAAATGAAAAAGAAACCATGTCTTTTTTCTTTTGTATATCTCAACTACAGAAGAGTTTATAATTTTTTTCTTTTTTGTTTTATTTTAGTTGTGAGTGAAAAGGAGAAGGTTTTGCTAGTCATATTTATAGTGGTTGAGAGGAAAGTAAAGTTATACGTGCATGGGCAAAAAATTCTATCTGATCCATCTCATGATACAAGAAACATTTGCGAAATTGTATTTGACGACTGAAATTCGAGGGTGGATGGGAACAAAAATACAAAATTTAGTAAATTAAATTTGGTGATATGGGAAGAAAAGTTGTATAGAGTTTTGGGTCTATAAGTGAATGCCAATAAAACACAACTATATGATATCGGTGAGTGCCAAAAAAAGGCAACTAAATGGATGGGCATTAAAATTTGATGGATGGAGAAAATTGTTACCATGTATAAAGACAATTTTTAACTAAGTTGTGACGTTTATTTTACATTGTACATGAGAAAAAAAAAATGGTTAAAAAAAGTCAAATACAACTAAACATGTGTTTTGCTTGTTCTTGTTATTATTTTGGGTGTTTTTATAGTATTCTTTCGAGTTCATTTTGAACTTCTTTTATAGATTTTTCGGTCCATTAAGTTGATTTTGCTCGTTTTAGTGTTTTTGTGCTATTTGGTATTTTGTGTATTTTTTTTTTCTTCTGTTTTTATACTTTATTTTGTAGAAAAATGTTAATTTTTTTTCTGTTGATTATTTATTTATGTTATTTTGGATATTTATTTTTGACAAAAACTTTGTGTGTTTGAATCCGTTTTGACGAATAACTTGGTGTTGTTTTGGTATTCATTTTTTTGTTGATAAATAACCTAGTGTTGTGTTTGGCTATGAATAAATACTTCTCAGAGGATAATTGTCGAACACTTAAGAATCCTTCATTTTTAGTATATGTAGAGTGTATATGCAGTATATGTTCAGTTTATGTACGTCTTAGAATATGTAACATAATCCCGGATTAGTATATGTTGAGTTTATATTTAGTATAAAACAAAGGACATCATATTGAGTTTAAATTTCACCTTCTTCCTAAAACAATGGACATGGTTATGTTGAGTTTAAAAGTCAGTATAAATTTTCATGTATTGAAAGGCAGTATATATTGAGTTTATATTTAGTATATATTTAGTATATGTTGCAATAATCTCCTAANCATAAGTAATTTGTTATAATATGTTTATAAACTTAAAAACAAGAAGATATAATTTTTTATGGAAGACATGTTTTTCATTGCAACATATACTGAATATATACTAACATAAACGCAACATATACCACTGGACAGCCGCGTTAATTACAATACATGTTTTTATTTCTCCCTATTAAAAACGTAAAAAAGTGCGCGAATTAAAAAATTAAAGGAGTTATTATAAGCATATTTTCATTTCTCTCTCCTAATCAATCCCATAAAAAAAATAGGATGTAGGTTAAAATGATACATAGAATTTCTGTAAAACGATATGGTAACTGATTTAGGCATTAATATAAATAAATAAGGTGTTTTAAGTAGAGACACAATTATTAATATAGATATGGTAGAGTTGTAATTAAGTTAAAATTACGTAGCACACTTGAAAATTTCCCAATGATTAACGGACAATGTCCACAGCCCATTATCAAATAAATATTCACAAAATAGCAAAATTAACTGCAATGTTCCCTGAATGCCATAAAACCACTCGGATATCAACCGTACTCAGACGTACAAAATTCTCCAGCTCCAGCCCTTGGATAATTTATCCAACCAAGAGTCGAAATAATATCAGACAGTACAAATTCTCCCAATTGTTCTCCATTAAAGAATAATTAGGCAAGAACTTACTAAGTTGTGCCAGAACTCCCATTCGCTTTGGTCTCTGTTCTTACGTATGTCAGACCACGAACAGCTGGTGCCGGAAAATTGGTGCTAGCTGAAGTCTCGTTGGCACTTGTACTCAAGTGGGCCCCACGCTTCCACTGAAAGCTCCTCGCCATCATAGGTACACGTGACCTATATATACCGGGCATGCCTCTAGGAAAAGGAGCTCTGAAAATTCTGGGAATAGTAAAAGGAGTCGCTCGAGTGACACGTGGCCATGTTGTAATTGATGCAGCTTCTGGTTGAGCAGAGCTTTTCCTAACAATCTGCACAAAAATGATGGTTAATTTTGAAAAAGTTGGTAGAGATAGTTGTTAGTGAGATTTTAAGTTTACATTAAAAAAATATTTAAAAGAAAATGACTAAAACTGATTTTGATGTAAAAGTAAGAGATAGATGATTGGAAGTGATAGATGGTTAAAATTATGTGAGTGGAAGATCAATGAATTAAAGTTGATGTGATGTGTAAGGATGGTTGATTGATATTATATAATGATATTGATAATATCATAGTGAGGTTGAATTTAAGTTGATTTAGATTTTGAGTTAAAATTTATTTTATTTTTTTATTTTTTGTATATTTGTAAACAAACACACTGATAATATTTCATGGATCGGTAAAGCCACATGTTTATGAGAAAAGGGGTGAGAAATGTCTTGGGAAAAGAGAACATCGGCAGATACAAATTTACTGAGCTACTGGTTAAATGAAATCAATAACACTATTAAACAACAGATAAAAATTGGTCAAAACTCAAAACCAGAGAATGAACGTAAAAATCATATCGCGAGCCATTCATCACAATATCACTACTGCTAACATCCTTCAATTACGCGTACCTTGAGAAGGCGAGACATGAAGGAAGTGCCATCTAAAGATAAGGCAAGCTCCGCAGCTTCTTTCCTCGTGAACTCTATATAGGCTGACCTGAACAGGCGAGACATTTTAGAATAGAATTCAAAAACATTGAAGGGAAATGAGGCATGTGAAAGTGAAACATTCTATTACCCTTTCGGTTGTCCAGTAGCCGGATCAGTTAAAATGATCACTTTCAAGACTTCTCCAAACTTGTTGAAGTTTCGTGAAAGGCTATCCTTAGTGGCAGCAAAATGAACCTGAAAAACATGGAAGAGAGTACTTAAGGAACAAAACGAGAAAGCTAAAGAGANAAAAAAAAAAAAAAAAAAAAAAAAGGTTCCTACTCCAAAAGGAAGGTGTAGATTTCATGGGAATTTACATTGCTAACAAAGATTGTCCGAGAATCAGCATCATCAGTTGGTGGACCAGTATTCTGTAAATCTGGAAGAATCAAGAGTTCAGACAAGGGATTAACAATAGCAGCATGAGATCCAGTCAAGTTTTGAGGTTGGTTTAGAAAGTTTGTAGAGACAAGTTAGGTGCACGTGTATGGCAATAAATATCAGGCAGTATCAGCCCATATGATAGAGAAAAATAACAAGATCTATTTACAATTTTTAATAACAAGTAATCAAGATATGGGAAAGCATTCAAAGTTTACCAGTTGGTGCGTGAGTCTTTTCAGGTTGTTGTTGGATCATATCATGTTTTGCCTGTGACAATACAAGTCACATATAACAAGTGAGTAAAGTCATTACATGACACCCGACCAAAACTTTTTAAGATAAGGAAATGGAGAGAACACGAGCATGCATGAAGTTCTTACATTTCCATTAGAGGCTATTGTAGCATTGTTGTTCTCCTTTTTCAACCGAACTTCAGATTTAGTAGCCACAGCACTATCTACTGCTCTTTTGTGATTATCCATCTCAGACACCACCCTTTCCTCCTGATATTCGGTTTTCCTGGTATTCATGCCTACATATGAAGCAATTCTACAGGATGCATTGTGCCTTGTTGCGGGTCGACCCAAATCTTCAATTTGTTCAGCAGCATACTCATATGCTAGGGAGTTATCTATCCACTTTCTACCAGATGCGCCTACCGAAGTTAAACCCGTGGCATCTGGTTCCCTCTCGTCAATATCATCATAACCTTCCCCATCATCTCCCAAAACAGAATCCAATATAGTCTCGCGAAAAGGCGATATGTGTCCTACCAGTGTGTTGTCATCATTCTGCGGATGATAAACCGAGTTAAAATTTTCTGTTGCATCACCCACAACACCAGCAAATTCATTTTCTTGGTGACCAAGCCTAGCAAACACACTACGTAAATGCACAGTTTTGTTCACATCCTCAACTGCCTCTGCTGCAGCTTTAATGGCCACGGACATGAAAGTACGTGAGATTCTCTGAGGGCGTTCTTCCTGCAATAAATCCCCAGTTGATGTAGAAACCACAGACCTCATTCGCTTGCGTGAAGAGTCTTCTGCATTGGAAGACCTAGATTTACCAACGGCATCGCGTACAGCAAACTGCAATAGTCGTCTTGCAGCACCAGCAGTTGACTGGGAAACTTCCCTCTGTCAAATTTAAAGGAACAAACGAACAAAGAAATGCAAAATAAGGATTTCAGAACTCTGGAAAAGACTTGTCCAAGAGAGGAACAAAGACAACTTCAACAAACAAGCAGTGTGAGTTTTAAGTACCAAAATACCGGATCACATGTCGATGAACTATCACTAAAATAAGATTCTAAAGATGGCTGACTGCTTCTAGACCGAAAAAAACAGCAAGAAGAAAGATATGAATAGTTGATTCAGATGCAGAAAAGGGTGGCTAAATTAAATAGCTAAACACAAGCATCTCATCCCTCAGTGCATGAGTATCCCGGAATCACATGCAATACTACTAAATCGAAAAGATATTAAAACAAAATTAACTAATAACATAGTGGTGGTCAATGCCGAGCATCACTAAATGAAAATGTCGCGGTGAAATATCAAGAGGACATGCCAAAATGAACAAGCATCAGAAACATTTTCTTTTTTTTCCTGAAACTTGCAACCAGTTCCAAGTTATCGTTACCATAAAATCTCATATATCGGCCAGAGTTTTGTGATCTCAATAAATAACCGATGATGCATGTAAAATGTCATCATTGTTTGTCAAATATTAAACAAGGATACCGCGTAAAGTAAGATAGATATCTCCCCGATCTTCAACAAAATCCTCATGTGACAAGTCAATGTCTCACAGTTGACAGTTTTCACTCATATAGTAGTGCACCATGACTCAGTATTTGCTCCCAATAGGCTAGAAGAAGAAAAGTTATTACCTGTCTTGGCCGTTGTTCCTCAGTTCGCCTTTTCTTCTTCTGAATTGTAGGCCGAGGTGAGAGAGATGGCTTTGTTCGCCGAACTCTCTGATTAGGTTCATGCTTGGAAATTTCATTGCCATCAACACTGTTTTGAGGAAAGAGAACTTCATTGTCATTCCTACCCCTCACTAAACCTTTGGATGGAAGGTTGTTACGGTGTCCATGTGATTTAACAGAATTCGGGGTCTCAGCTTTAGATTCAATCTTACGAGTCTCATTTTTTCCAGCCTCATCCCTTGCTACCAGCTTTGTCTTGGGCACTCCATCTGTTTGAAGTTCTTGCGATTGCACATACAGACTCACATTAGATCCTAAATGATCCCAAAGCCTGTGTACAACAGTTAATTATCAGACAAAGTTTGTGCACACCGCATAGTACTCATGCATATATGATTAGTGGCAGTTGAAGAAAACCTCACCAGGAAACAAAACAGTCGCTGTCATCACCCAAAAAAACATTCAACTCGCTCTTTGCTTCATCTTTAGATCTACCATTTTTCAGCAAGACTATCACATATTCCTGGGACAAATCACATATCATAAATAATTAAATATAGCAAGGTAGAGCGTTAGTTCACAGGAAAACAAAAAGATGACTTGAATTACTCGAATCCAATGAATGACAGTAAACATCAAACTCGACATGAGGGACAAGATACCTCCATGATACAGTTGTAGGAAAGGAAAAGGAAATATGGATTGGTAACTAATCCGCAAACCCCCAAAAAAAAAAGTTAACTAGAATCCAGTACACCACTGCTAGAAATGAGAACGTCATGAAGCAACAACATTGCACTCCTATACTAGGATGGAAGTGAAATTACATGCGAAAAATAAAATAGTGCAACCAATTACATAGTAATAACATAAAGCAACGTGCAAATACTAAGTTACTAACCAATATGACCGTATAAATTTTCCAAATATTACACACACAAATGCACACACAAGACAACGAAGCGCAGCGTGAGTGGTAGGACGCTTCACTTATGACTGATATAGGTCATGGGTTCGAGTCACCGATGAGGGGAAGTGAGAACACTATTGATCCTCCTTTTAAAAGAAAGAGAGAAAAAAAAATGCACGCGCACACAAAAAAAACAAGTGCTTGAATTGGCACAGCTCAGTTAAGTATCAAATTCATATTTCTGATAGACCTGACTCAGTTACACAGTCATCCATATTTCTGATAGAATTGACTCAGTTACACAGTCATCCTGAAGGTATGAAGGCCTAAAGTAATAGAACAGAGACATCGGCAATAAAATGGAGCAGATGCACAATATGTAAAGAAAAGAACATTCCACTACAGTCATAAGCACCACAATTGTAAAGCTCATATAATCACATAAAAGAACTATATTTCAATTTTTTTATGACAACTCATTCATCTGAGAAGCAACACAAAAGAGATTACCATATTCAGTATTCACAATTTAAAATTTTCTACAAGTTTTAAGTTATTACCATTCCTTGCTGCAACTACTAAGTTGTTACCCATCAACAAAGAAAATACAAAACTATTTGTCTTGTTATCATAGTCATTTTGCACCAAGGATGACAAATGAGACTTCAAGTTCCACATTATCCATTGAAACAGTTTGTGTTGTTTATGGTTTGGTGTTGAGAATCCAATCGCATTCGGGTATTTGGAAAGTTGTTTGAGCAAAAAGACTTTCAATAATTCAGCAAATATTATCACCACAAATATGCACCCCCAGTGACAGGAATATACTACCAGCACTTCTAACACATCAAAGCCACTTTATGACTATATTCCAAACAAACCAACTAAGTGAATGCACCACTAGCTTGACCCGTAAGACTGAAACAACACTTTCTTCTTCACATATGCTCATACCAAAAGCACATATTGATCATAGTCAGCTCATTACATGATTCAGAACACTGAATCAATCCAATTTCTACCACGTTTTTGCACAGTTACAAATTGAGCCCTGCAGCGTGACAAACTTGGAAACAAACAGCACTAACCATCCCCACTGTCCTGAACAACCAGCCTCTTGAAAATAATATACATCGTAATCCCCCAATCTACACAAAATTCTCAATTAAGAAACAATGACTTATTAAAAATCAACTTTAAGTTTCATACCACGAGAGTATCGTCCGTGTAATCGCCCATGAACTCCTTGAGCTTCTCCTTGACAACATCACGAAGCTTCGAAACTCCTTCGCTAGTGAAATCAACCTTAAATGTCCGATTACCTCCATCCATCCCCCTCCAAAAATTTACACCGCTCTAAAACCCTAAACACAAATTCATCAGCTCAATCCACAAAAATCCACACGTATCCAAAAACTGGTTCGCCAAACAACACAAAAATTGAACGAAAACCAGCAATTAGCTGGTGATTGCTATAATCCGGAATTAATATGGACATAAATGGCTATAAATAAACCTATTCAATCGAAATTGATTAGGGGAAATGATCAATAGTGATAAAAGTGGAACTAAATCAAAAATCCCAAATATGATTAAACAGTGAACTACAGCGAACACAAAATTGGGATGGCAGATTTATTTTGTGTTGATGAGCCCAAAGCCAGAAGCATATATTTCTTTATTTACGATGGCGAGTTGGGGTAGAATGGGAAATTAGTGGCTCTAGCTTTTTTTTCTTTTTTCTTTTTTCTTTTTTTTCTTTTTCTCCTTATCCCACAGACTTGCACCAATAATATAGTCGAGCTTGAACTTTTTATCAACGTGGCTCGTGTAAGTTAACCAGATGTCTATCTCAATTAATTTACGAGCTCTAAGCCTCTAACAAGCATAATGATATTGATTGAAGTTAAAAAAATTAATAAAAATATTATTTTTTAAACTTATTGAGTCTAGCTTTAAACGAGCTCGAATCTTAAAGGATGCTTGATATAAGTTTTGTCTAATTTTGTGTGAATTTTTTGATTTAATGTAATTAATTTTGAAAAAATTTGTATAGTTAATTGTTAGTGAGATTTTGAGTTTATATTTAAATACTAATTAAAATAAAATAATTAAAGTTAATTTGATGTAAAAGTTGTCGAGAGATAATGTGAAGTGATAGTTAGTTAAAATTATGTGAATAGAATAATATTAAATTAAAATTGATGTAATGTGTAAGAATTGATTGAGTGATTGATTAAAAATAATTAAATTTTTTTGAAAATTTTACATACAAGCATCCCCTTAAACGAACTCATTTAATTAAAAAAAAAATGTAAAACAGGCCTTATTTTTCAAATCTACATATATGATAGTGTTGATGCACGAAATTTGATCAACACTGAGGGTTCAGAGAAACTTATTGTGTATTTTTTTATGTGTATTTTCTGTTCAATTTTGATCTGATCATCTCCAGAAAAATAAATGGATACAGATGATAAAGAAGGAGAAAAGATAAAGGCACACCGCTTCTGTCGTATGAAAATAATAATAGGCCCCTCAGACTTATCTTCTGATATCCATCATTGGGGATATATATATATATGTTTAATGGGCCCGATATTATCATAAGCGGTATTATTTTTTAGCCCAAAATTAAAATAATTGATAAAATGCATATCCACGTGTAATATTTTAATAGGCGAGACCAAAATTTGGTATCAACAGTAGGCCCCCGATTTTAGGGCATGTTTTGAATAGAACTGTTCTGAAATTGCGTGTATAATCAATTTTGGTCGCGATAAATGATGTATCGATGTTGGCCGGGTAATTTGAGCCCATGAAGCCAATGACGTGGATAGTAAATTTCTCTGAAATTTTGAATGAGGCCTGGATGGCCTAGTCGGGCAATTTGGTGTCCATCTTTCGCGTTTTTTGCGTGGAACGCGAAACGTGTGATGTGGTAATAATGATATGGCATTATGTGGGCACTCGGGCCCCCGGAATTGTTACCGAACTCGCGATTCTATCGTATTGAGACGACGCGATTTTTTGTTTGATTTGTGATTGTTTTTCTTTACTATGTGGACCTGGTCGGATAATTCGGTATCCGGTCTTCGGTCTTTTATTTTTATTTAATTATTTCTCAGTCGGGTAGAGTGTTCCCGATCTTTGATGTAATATGTAGGGCGTTAGCCTTGCCAAACCAACTTCAGGGTTTGGAAAAGAATTTTTCTTTCTTATTATTTTTTCATTTAGATTCGGCTTTTTTACTGTGCCGACAGAGGTTAGCCGAATGATTTTTCGATTCGGCCTTTTTACTGTGCCAACGTCGGTTAGCCGAATTATTTTTATTTTTATTTTTTCCAGCCGGAAAGGTCTTATTGACTTTGCCTAACCAGTGTGGGTCTTTAAGGATTATAAGAACGGGTATCAACCTTACCAGGCTGAAGAACTTAGTGTAAGTAAAGGCTTTACCCTAGCGAGCTGAAGAACTCATGTAAAGATTTTTGTTTTGTATTTTCCCCAGCCGGAAAAGTCTTATTGACTTTGCCTAACCAGTGTGGGTCCTTAAGGAATTTAATGATCCCCGCCGATAAGGTCTTACAGTGCGCCTCACCAGTAGGTCCTTAAGGATTTTTTTATTTATTTTGGCTTGACTTTTCATGTTTATGTCAAGATGCATGTATGACGCACGTATGAATGTATGTATGAATGTATGAATATATGATGAGTACGTGCAATAAATGACTAATGCATGAAAAATGATGTTGCCTCGATATTTTGTCGAGTCTGATTTTTGTCTGCCGGTAGGTGTTGTACCTTACCGGAATGTTGTATATGAAGAAACGTCTGTATTTTTTATTTCCAACTAGAATATTCAGCATTTTATTTTACTCGCGGAATTTTTAGAGGAACGTCGGTATTTTTTGTTTCCGACGAAAATATTCAGCATTTTATTTTCATCGCTGAATTTTTAAAGGAACGTCGGTATTTTTTGTTTCCGACTTATTTTTTGAGAGTCGGCTAGCGGAATTATTTTTCGAGATTTGGTTTTTTTACTGTGCAGAGTTATTTTTATTTTTCCTAGCCGGAAAGGTCTTATTGACTTTGCCTAACCAGTGGGGGCTCAGCCGGAGCAGAGGCTCAACGGCAAGAAAATGTAAATATCAGCTCTGCCGGAGTCAAGGCTCACGGCGAGAAATAATAGGACGTCGGCCCAGCCGGAGTCGTGGCTCACGGCGAGCAATAATAAGACGTCCGCTCAGCCGGAGTCGTGGCTCACGGCGAGCAATAATAAGACGTCGACTCAGCCGGAGTCGTGGCTCACGGCGAGAATAATAAGACGTCGGCTCAGTCGGAGTCGTGGCTCACGGAAAGCAATAATAAGACGTCGGCGTCACAAATGAATAAGTGACTTTGGATTTAGCGCAGATAAATGGAGGCCATGTTTGTTTTTTGGCGTTTTGGCCAAACCGCTGTTTTAGCGGTTTTGACCGAGCCAAAATGCTAAAATTATGTCAATATACATGTTTTGTTAAATAGCTTTTTCATACAGCTTTTCGTCCAAAAAAGCTAAATTGGAAACGCTACAAATACTAGCGTTTCACATTGGCGTTTGTATTTAAATGGACCACTTTTTCTTTTTCTTCAAAATGATCCTTTTCTTTTTCCATTACAATTGGTTAAATGGATGCCTTTGGTGGGCCCATTTTTTTCTTTTTGTTTTTCCTTTATATTATTGATGTTTAGTATTATATTGAATATATTGATACAACTTGAATTGAAAAGTATGTTTTTAATTATGGTTGTTATTGTTATGCAAATATATTTACCTTTTTTTTAATTTTATTTGCGTTTGAATGTCTTCCTTGTGTTATATTTATTTTTATTATATTTTAAATTACTTTAGTAAATATTTAAAAAAACTAATTGTTTTTATTTCCTAAATAATTATAAGCTCAACATAAATATGAATGATAAAGTATGTTGATGTCCTTATAAGTATTTTACACGTTAACAGCTAATTAAAAATAACCAATTTTACCAAATACTCTTTTACAAACTACTAACACAATTAGTTGGTCATTTAAGCAATTATAACAATGATTAATTAAAAAGATATTAATTTACTATAATATTGTTAAGAGTAATTAAAATATTGGTAATTAATAAAAATATTTAATTACCAAACATAATTTTAATTAGCACATTTAATTTCTTGCGTTTATTTCATGCAGTGTTGCTATCATTTTTTTTTTTTTTAAATTTTAGTTAATGGGCTATTTGAAAGATAATGATGAAAATTTTGTTGTCATTTTCAAATACCAATTTGTATTTAAGTACATTAAACCACATTTTATATTTTTAATTTATATTCTTTCTATTATTATACTTTAATTATATAAGTATGAAAACTTAATTTAATTTAAGAATCAATTTAACTTTTGTTGATACAAAAAATAATTACATAAATACAATTGGTATTTATTGCCTTTTCAATATTTATATATATAACAAAATAAGTAAGTTAATAATATTAAACCTTAATTTAATTTAAGAATCAATTTAACTTTTGTTGATTACAATAAATAAACATACATACGATTGGTATTATTGCTTTTTAAATATTTAAATATATAACAAAATAAGTAAGTTAATAATATTAAAAATATTTTTACAAATCAATCAACTATTTAACCAAACATTTTTTTAGAATCGCTAACAGTATCAGCTAGTCAAAACAGTCAATACTAACAGCTGGTCACAACAGCTATTATAATCCGTTATCCGCTAAAGCTAACCGCTAATTACCAAACAAGGCCGAAATCTGCTCCAGCGTCGATAAATGAACGCGGCCCCATCATGGATAGTGAAATTCGGCCCCCGCAATAATAAGTGAGGTCGGGGTACGTCAATCGGTTTGAATAATTTGTTACTCGTAGCTCTGCCCTTGTTGTTATAAATAAATCAACTTCAGCCCCCACTTTTGTCTTCAATATTTGAGATTGGCAGCCCACATTTTCTTTTTTCTTGGGCCCAAAGGTAGAACAATTCAAGCCCAGAAGTATGGTTTGACTTGCTGGGTCGCTTTTTGAAGTGAAGATTGGCAGAGATTTGTATTATAAGCCACGACTTCAATTGGCTCTGAAATATAGGGCCGCTGAGAGCAATTATCAACGGTGATGGCGGAGAAATCGGATCCCGTCGATTTGTAAGGTCGGCCGTCGTTGATGAGGTCAGCTGGCGACGAATTTATTTGTCCTGCCCGTCAATTTACAAAGTCGGCAGTCGTCCGAGGTTTAAATCAAGATGCCGGCGGCGAATTCGAGCCTGGCTCATCAATTAATTCGATTTAAAGACCCGACCATGGTAATTCTGGTGCACCAGAGCTAATCGAAGGCCTGCCCGACTTTGAGGTCGGGCTCGATATTGTTGAAGTCGGGCTCGGACACTGGCGATTTGTGTTGAGGTCGAGTGACGACATGAAAGTTGGTCATGATTTTAAAGTCGACCGGCAACAACAAGGTCGGGCCCGATCTACTTCAGGGATGCCAAGATCGGTTTGAGGGCAACGTTGGAAGTCGGGATTTAGGAGCTCGGTTGTGAGTGACTTCAGTTCTAACGGCTCTCCACAGCAGATGAGGTCGCTTAGATCCGAGCTGAGGTGTCTGTCGACCCGGTATTAAAGAGGTCGGTCATATAGCGTTGTCGGCCCCCAAATGTGAGGTCGGAGAATCCGAGTTTAGGTTGCCGCGATTTAGGAGATCCGAGTTTATGTGGGCCGTTGATTGAGGTCGGATCTCAGTTTGTTGTGAGGTCAGTCGGATCTCGATATCGACCTATTTTAAGGTCGGCGAGTCGGGCCTGAATTTGAAGTCGGTTGTTACTGACGATTGAGATCGGCCTTTTTTAAGTTCGAATTTAATTCAGAGAAGTCGGCCCGATTCACGGTTTGAGGACCCGAGTCCAATGGAAAAGAAGCTGTCGATGTCGGCAACAGTGGGATCGAGCCCCGCTGACCGAAGTCGGGGAAGTCGAAGTCGGTTCTGCAAGGGCGAGTTGAACAGTGGAGAGGTCGGTAATGAAGTTACCGAATGCCAGCAGCTTTTGAAGTCGGTGATGGAGATGGCCCGAGCTTGATGATGAAGACACTCGGCCTCGACTTGGCCCCATCTTTGAAATCGGAGAGACTCCGTGTTGTTAAAGTTGGTGAATAATTGATCGGAGCTCGGTGGAGTAACAGAAAGTCGGCCGCGAGAGGTCCGAGCTTGGCCCGACTGTATTGTGAAGGTTTAAACCCGGCCCGATAATGATGGACGTGGCCTCGTTGGCAAAATTTAAAACTGTTGGAGACGATTCGGGGCGTCTCGAGGTGTTTCGGGGCATTTCGAGGTGATCCTGAGTTGCAACTTTGGCCGTCCGACAATGGTGAGGTCGTGTTGGAGATGATAAACTTGGTCCCGACAATCGAACTCGGTGTTTTGATAAAGATGAAGTAGGCCCCGCAATACTGGGCGGCAACGTCCACGTGTTCTATTGTAACAGCGACAACGTGTATTACCTTTAAATGTTTTCTGTCGGTGAGGCCACCAGCCGTTTGCACGCAGTATCATCAACTTCTTCAATTGATGACTCTTATCTTCGTTGTTTTTTTTTTTTTTTTTTTTTTTTTTTTTTTTT